TTTTCACACCAACTCTGGTTATTTACATAAATTAAATATTTTATATATATAATTTTTACAATCAAGATATTTTACATTGCAGTTGAATATAACGATTGTTTATTTAAATTGTTAGCAAGCAATGAATTTCCATTTTTGGTAATGCTGAGGATATTTTTTGAAACACAGTGTTGATGATTTTTTAAGCTCTGATTCTTTGTATATTTCTTATAGTGCTTAATAACACAAGATTTCTTCTAATGAACATTTTTTTGAACATGATAATTATTATCAAATGAGTTGATTTGATTTTGATCATCACAAGACTTTGTAACTCAGTGACCTTTATTTGGTTCTTATCCAGTAATATTATGCAAATTTGAGGTATAAAATTTAAATAAAGTGTTGTTTCACATTTGCTGTTGTATAATTGATTATATTTAAATATAATAAAGGACAATATTTTTATAATGGCAAATGGGAAATGTCTTACATTAAAAAAATATTGCGTCTTCATCTTTCCAAATTCTATTGTATATCCTTACATTCACAATGTAACGTAAGGTACCGTAAGTTTTTATTAAAATCACAGAAATAAATCTTTCTTGATATACTCTGTACTGATAGTTTCCCTGAGTGATCATCAATCTGATTAAAATAAGATCTTGGTTGGCTTAATTTTTTTTATATAATTACTATAATTATTATTTATTTTAATTATTTTTTGACGTTACAATTATTTTGCTGAAAGAATGATTTTGTCCGTAAATTTTAATCAGATTGAGGGATCATATACCCTATCAGTGCCATAGTTCCGTTCTGACAAATTTTGATGTCAATTTTGTTTTATTAATTTCTTTTTCGATTTTGGTCAAAATTAATGAATTTTCCATAAGCTACAGGTCTTCATCAATTTTTTTATGATTGAAGTTGCTGAACATAGATTCCTTTCGAGACCGAAAAGTAGACTTCTTTTGAGTCTTGAAAACAACCCCATTTGGTTGCTTGTTCTATACTTCAATGGAGATAGCCACCCATTGGGTGTACTAGTATGTTGCACAGGTTGATCTTCAGCGTCAGGGGAAAGTGATAGTCTTATTAAAATATGACCCTACTGTTGGTTTTAATTTTTTTTTCATATATTTATCTCAATTTTATTTTATGTATTTGTTGATAATTTTGTTTAGCAATTGCGAAAGCCAAGATAAAAATATATAAAATAAAATAAATGTACGCGTAAACAATCTGATTAAAATCTGGTGTATGGCGTGAATTTAATTTTATATATTTTATTTTTACTATAAATTTTTATTATTTTGTAATTGCTTTTAATATTATTCGTACATCTTGTGGGCTTTCGTGATTACCGCGCCAAAAAAATATAACACACATACACAGAGTCACTGCACAATATGTTATGCACTCACCTAAGATATATTGGTATATTACCTTTATAGCCCTAGTCATGGCACTTTTGGTTAAAGCGAGAGAGTCGTCACCTGCGCATGCGTCAGATGGCCATAGCGTGTCATTGTTTACAAACAAGCAACCCATGAGCCTTTGCGTTTTTAGCGTGTGTTGTTATCGTCGCTTGAAACTCTGTTCCCGTGCGTGTGCAGGTGACAACCCTCCCGTAATTTTTTGTGAAAATTTATAAATATAGAAATCGCTGTCATGTTGAGGAGTAAAAGAAACATTATAGAAAATATATCATTTACACCAAATAAAGCACCTGTGTATTATTTTTCTGTATGAATTTGTTTTAGCAGAACGACTTAAACTGTGTCGTATGTATGTGTGTCCGTCAACAAATCATAACGCGCGGTAATGCCCCATTGGAGAAGTTTCGTGTTTGACGCTCTTTTGTTTTCAGTCGCGCTAGGTATGACGGGATCACTATACCAAGATGGCTCCGAAAGTAAATGTGTTCGTTGTCGCTGCTCTGGTGTGTTTTTTCACCGTGAGCCTCATTGATGCTCATCCACGTGGCGAAAGCATAGAAATGAAACTACTTAAAGACCTATTGAGCATTCCACAGAAGACGTCGACGAAACTGCGATTTAACGCCACAAACGTGAGTATTTTATTTTATTTATCGTGTCTGGGGTCAGATCATGCCACCGCCGACCGGCGTAAGTCGTGCAGGCGTCACTGAGTTTTACTGTATCGTGTATGAGGTTTTCGTTTCACGCGAGCACAACTGTTTCAGCTCAGATACCACAGGGTAGTTTTGTAGTCAGTAAACATGTTCTCTGATTTCAAAGAAATAGAAATAAATGAAATTGAATTATCCGGTGTAAAAATCACAATGACACTGGTCCGTGTTATCGCCCACTCAATCTGAGGTGTAAATGACAATATTATCTGCGCATGCCATCACTGTAATACAAACACCTCTCTGTCTGTATCATACGCCGGCGGGGGTGGGGTGTTGTCGCATCATATGATGGTGATTATTTCCTTTTGTATGCCGATCACATGGTAGTGTGTTGTGTAATACAATAAAAAAAAACTGACAAAAACACAAGTGACGTCAATTAAAATTGCTGTCATGAAAAACAAACATCACTACAACAGTGTTGTTGGATACTGGGTATTTGTTTTCAGTAGTCCGTAGAGGCGAATTTTCTAATAATGACAAGATTTAATATAATTCCTTGCATTTGAAGAGAAAACATTTATTTTTGGTTCCCACTTCTCAGACATGAATAAAGTCGAGCAGTTTCTAAGGATAGAAATAGAAACCCATCCTGTTACTCAGTGCAATGTGTGCCAAGGTCACTGTGTTTATCTCTCTGCCAGCCTTGATAAAAGTCAGGTGATTGAATCAGGACCTTGGTACTTAATACAGTTAATTATTTAAAGACCTATTGAGAGTTTTTATTGGATGAGGTAATAATTATTTTAAGCGAATTAATAGTGGTAGTTACGATGTGATTTTGTCAGAAAAAAATCTGTCTCTTGTTTTTAGCATCCAATGACTAGTTAACACATGGCTGACTTTACTGTATTTGTCTACATGTTCTGAAAAGGCGTTGATGTTGTGGAAGTAAGGTTTGAATGAAACAATATTGTTTTTGTTTTTATATTATTCAAATATAATTATTCATCTTTTATTTGTATTTCAATTACTTTTTCACCCGATGGTAGATTTTTTTGTTGAATCACAAAAGTGCTATACATGTTTGTCAAATTCAAATAAGTCTTGCAGTATTTAATGCTCAGAAAACCTGTCTGCAATCAAAAATGCTCATATCATGTGCATGCCTACAGTGTGTTTAAACTCTCTTTGTGAGACATACTGTGATTGGCTGAATAATTTAAATTCTCTTTGTAAAACATACTGTGATTGGCTGAATAATTTAAATTTGTTCATTGATTATGAATTCCTATTTGAGTTACTCAGACCTGTGAATTTTGTAATCAGAATAAAAAATAAAACAATCCTCATGATATTACAAAAGGACAAATAAAAATAATAATTTCCAGTCACATGATCTTGCCTAGATCATCCTGTTTCTTTTTATGGCTGAACTGTAATTGGGCACATTATTAGGCGTGGAAATATCCAAAAGATATTTTTGAGTTTGCCAAATCCCATGCAACGTTTTGACACTACTACGATGCTATGACCTTTGTTTGTCCTGTTATTATGTTTGATTATGCACATAACGCTAGATCTCGCAGTGAAAGGAAAATGGTCTATTCATTTTTTGTTCAGACTTGGAACCACTTTTCCGTTTTGCCATACTACGTTATCTCAGGCATGTGAATAATATTTCCCCTACTTATACTGGAGTTTGTGTTATTTACAAATTTTTTTGAAACCATTATAATATTTGTCATCAGGTTGGAATGTCATGGAAGAACTGTGGTTCTCAGAGTGATCCAATACGTGCCAATGTATCTCTGATGCCAGATCCTGTACCAGTGCCTGGTAAAGTCACAGCTGCATTCGATGCTATCTTTGATGTCAATGTTCTTCCCCCACTGAAAGTTGTTTTGGAAATTAAAAAAGAGGTAAG